AGCGACGCGCTAGAACGGCGCGCTTAGAATATCCGCAAAATTCTATCGGTTTAAATTTTCCTTTTATTTCGCGTCGCACACTGATTTCCGTTCGTGAAAATGTATTCCAAGTGTTATAACTCAGTGAACTTACAAAAGGCACTAAAGTGCGCTCGTACGGACGAGCTGACATAATAATATGCAGATTAATCGCAGCTCTTCGACGCGTGAGTGTAATTCGCGATGCTCTCGCCTGAGTGACGATACCGTTGACTCATAAACGGCAAGGCGGCATCTCCTCCCGGCGCCGAATGAGAGTTCAGCCATTCGCATAAATGTTCGTATTCGTCGAGGGGCGCGCCGAGCAGACAATAAAAGGGAGAGAAGCGGCGATAAACAGCCCACGCGATCAGAGATGCGAAAAGTTTAAGAATGTCCCCCAATGTACGATATATCTTATTATTGTAATGGACTTAAAGGTGATGCACGATTCTCGTTCAAGCGCATTTCACCAATGACTTATGTAATATTTTATAAACAACAATTTTTACTTTTTGTCGCTCGCACGTTTCGCGATGCCTCTTGCCAGGATAGAGTTCATATGAACGAAACGAGAGACAGGAACACGCACGAATCGAATGTGTCCTTATTACCGCGACCGTAAAGAATTTAAGGCGCTATTTTCGCGACGGAACGCCGTGGGAAACTTTCGACATATGCTCACGTTAATTAAATTTCGCTCCTCCTATCTTACGGCAAGCGCAACTCGATCTCCTGTCGTCTCGTATTAAACCTCGCTCGTAAAAACGCGCAACCGCTCGCATTTCTTCCTCTCTTTTCCCCGTTTTCTTTTTCCCACGTTGATTATAATTAAATATAATTACCAAAGCGCGCGAGCCGGGCTTTATTTCGTTCGCGACGAAGACGCGATACAACGTGTGACGAACCACGAGGAAGTATATGTTTAAAGCGAGAGTGAAGACTGTAAAAGATTTCACGAAGGGTGAAAAATGATGCCAGATTTCGGGGGCGAGATTCGTAAAAAGATTACGGAGCCCGAGAATCACGCGAATAACTCAAATGCAATCGCCAATTTCAGCAGCCTGTTATCTAATTGATTATCGGATTGTCGAGTAATGCTTTTTGTTACGCGTTGTAACACCGACGTATCAGATATATGAGAATTAAAGTAATTATATTCTTTTTTCGCTACGTTGCATCGGCGTGCGCAGTAAAAACAGCGTAATAACTAAAATACAAGCGAGATACGTGGAGCGTTCATTAAATATTTTGCCGTAGCAAAAATAGCGAGCACGGATTAAGCGGAATCTAAACCGGTAACATAACGCCGCGCTGATGTATGTCGTGAGATAAAATGCCCCGAAGGGGTATAGAAACGTAGACATGAATTAAGATGTGGAACATAACATTAAGATTCATGTCTCGCTTATTTATTATACGCGTAATTTTAGCGCAAGGGAATAATTCTCCGCGAAAAGCTGGATTTTACGCAGGATCGCCTGTGATTTCGAAAAACGTCCGGCCGGCCCGTGTAAATTCTTCAGGATCTGTTCTCGGATACTGCGCTAAATGTATAAAGTTTCGGAAAACGGAGCACGAAAACAATATCGCGTTTATAACGAGCGACGGCAAACGTCGTCGCTGCAAATTTATCTTCTGATCGCGCGCGATATTTCGAAAGCATGTTAATGCGATAAAACGGTGCCGGGGAGACAGAGAAAGGAGAGAGAGAAAATAGAAAATATATCTTGGTGTGCGATTTAATTTAATTTCCATAGTCGACTCGTACCCGATGCTCTGGGTTGCCGACCCGACGCGGCTGCGCTTCATAGAATCCGTTTATCCCCTGTTTAACCCATCAACGCGATGCGCGACGCCCGCGCGCGATTGTTTTTACCCGCCAAGGCAGAAAATGCGAAAACGGAGCGTTTACAAATGCGCCCGCATTAATAATACATAATATCCTGCCCTGTGCTCGGCGCACTCGGTTAAACGTCGCTTTTGATGCGAACTGAGAATCTCGTTAGTAAAATTAATAGATACGCTCGAGCGCGAATCCATATGGAAATGTTGGTTTATTTTGACCGTCAAAGTCCGTCACGGAAGCCTTTTCCTATTCAGGAATCAAGGACCTTATGCAAGTGTTTATAAAAAAAAAGCTGGGATAAAGATAAAAGACGCTTTATGCCCGTTTTCACCAACGGTTTAACTTGAACCTTCACTCACTCTTCAGTTCAATTCACTCTTTGTCTCTTTCTAACAGTCTCTCTTAGAAACAGACAAAGAACGAATTGAACTAACAATAAAGTTCAAGTTCAACGACGTTGGTGAGAACGAGCATTAATCGTTTAGATATCTTTAGTCTTTTATTCTTTTGTGTCGTGGCAGTTCCAAGGAGCCAGGTCTCAAAATCAACAATTTTAATAAACTTGAGTTTTTTTTACGACTCGAGTTCTAAAATTACTAGAATAGTTGGTATTGTATTTGATTCGATAAAATTTCTGTCCCTATACCAAGTCAATCGACACGCGAAACACGATGTCTCGATTACCGTGCTGGGAAACCTTTTTCTATCCACAGGGCTGTTTTCGCCTGTCCCTTTCTCCTTTTGTCTGCTACCTCTCGACCAATCCCGTCGGTCTGGCGGGCTCGCCTCGACGAACCAACTCGCATTAATTGCCGAGAGTCACGACATGTCTCCATTACTCAAGAGCTTCGTTAAAGGGAGGCAAAGGGGATAAGAGAGCGCCGCGAGGATAAGGGGGCGAGGGAGAAAAAGGAGGTCGCAACCATGTTTCACCATTATTTTTCACAAATTGGGCTCGCGTCGCCGTTATCCTTAACGAGAATTGAACTGGCCCCCATCGCTCGTGGAATGAAAAAAAAAAAAAGATTTCCTGTTTATCGTATTCGCGAATTTCATCCATTTATTAGATCTTCGTTCTTCTCCGAATATACGTCGCGTCGGGTTATTTTTGATTTTGAGATCTTGATTTATATATCGCGCGCGATGTCGATCAGCATAGAATATAGAAGCTAAATAGACCGCATCCTCGCGTACAGCTTCCACTAATTAATCAGAAATTTCCTGCCGGCACCGCCGACCGACCGATGCAACTAATAGACCCTGCTCCGAATCTCCCTACCAATTATCCCACCGTGTACTAATTAGCATATATGACCGTGGTAACAAAGTTTCCCGCCTCCGACAATGCCGTCCATGGCCTTACCACGGAAACTTACCACGGCTTCAATAATTCGTAAATCCGCCAACCGGCGGTTCACGATCAACATTTAACTTCGCGTTTCGAGGTCTTTCTTGATGAAATTTAAATCAATATCTTTAGTTAAATAACATTTTGTTATTTTTAACTACCATGCACGTGTGTCAAAATTTATTATTTTATCTCCATTAGTTTAATTAAACTAACATTGTTTTATTTAAATTAACGACAGAACAGGAGCAGTGATGACCTATATAGAAATTATAGTTAAAAATGACTCATACTGAATATAATGTGACATTAACGAATTTAACGTCAAAACCAAACGAGTACTTTTCCGTATTTTTGTTCTTGAATTTAAAAAGGATATTGTGGGCAAGTTTAACATTAAATAAAACAAGTGTTCATTACCAAATGTAGGACATTTGGAACGTGGACTACAGGGAAATACGAAATGCGAAATTACTCTATTAACTCCGGCAAAGTCGAAAGACTTGGAAGATTGAGCGTATTAGAGCGGAGGGTTGTTACGCGGCGGAAAAATTACCGACAAGGTACGCCTCCTACGTACGAAACTTTAGCAGTTTATTATGGCCGAGTGCCGACATAGTTCTCCCGGCAGTGCGGGAGTTTCAAGCAATGGGACGAAATAATCGCGTTTTTACGATACTCGCGCCGAGTTTTACGAGAATCGGAAGCCTCGGCGACGCTTTTGTGCGGTAAAACTTGTTCGAATACCGCACGCATCATAAAATTGACAAAGCCGACGGTGGCGCAGGTTTTATCATACTATCCGGCATACTTTCTACGTCTAACGCGAGCGAATTCCTCTACTCTACGTTCTCCAGAGCGAATCGTACGCGTTCGTATAAATGTCATGCATATAAATGCCGCGAAATATCGCGAGTGCTGAATTAAATCTCATTAATATGTTTTGTTTTACAATATCGTTACAGAATAATAATTATCGTTATAACGGAATAATTATATTAAATCAAAAAGGTGGTTGTTATCATTATATGGCAATTTAATATCGCAAACCTTGAAAAACAAGATTCTAGAAATACGAAAATGTCATGCGAACAGCTTGATAGCTTTCGGTTTTCCGCGTTTTCATGCGTTTTTACCCTCAACTCGATCCCAGGCGACGCGACGCTCGACAGAAGGAGGAGGAGCTGGTACAGGAAGGGTGACTCGTAATACCCGCCAGTAGATCGGACTTTACATCCGGCTAATTAAGCATTGATAACTAACGAGGTTCCTTTGTGCCGCGGCCACCGCGGGAGATGAAAGTCCTCGGAAAATTTCAACCGACACGTCGGATTAAATGCTTTAGCGCACGTGCTCGTCGAACCCGAGCCTGCAACTAGACGTGAACTACGACTTTAATCCCCGTTGACGCGAATTGCTCGGGGCATGTTCCCGCTGGGTGTGGATTTTTTTTCTCCTCCCGCTATGTAGAAGAAGGGTTCGCGTAAGAGCCTGACGTCGGAAGAGCGGAATCGATCGCTCGTATACCGGGCTCGTTTCCTGCTTTATCATGCAGAGACGATGATTAATTTAACGACTTCCTACCAAGCCTGCCCTTTTGAGCGCGGCGAGCGATTGTTTGATTTTGTCAAGGGTGCGCGATTGAGGGTGCGCACACAGGATATAATACCGTGAGCGTTTTCCCTTTTTTTTTGCGTATATCGCCCGTTAATTGGTAGTACCGATTAGCAAAGAGATGACTAGATCGAACAGATTGTAAAACCGTATTCCGCTTTCCTGTTTCAGTTTTACCAGCTTCTGGAAGCCAGTCAAGTGGCCAATACTACCCTCACGTACCGCCACGTGACCGTGTTCGCGCCCACTAATCGAGCATTCCAGAAGTACAATGGCAGCACGAAGAATTTGGTTTTGTATCACATGTGTGAGTAGAACATTTATTTTATGCAATCTGACAGTCTAAGATAAATTTAAATAGAAATAGATTGAGATATAGACATCAAAGTTGGCGATTTAGTACTAGCAAATTATATATTTAATATTAATGATTGCAGCGAGACTATAAAATCTGCGATTAAATGAAAAGCTGTGGAGATATATTAATAATAGTAGCGTATTTCATAAACTAGCTTTTAATAGCGTAACAGAAAAAAGAGTTATCGTGATACGGTATTTGAATCCCCAAGCAGAAACTACGAATTTGCAGAATCAACAAACAATCGAGAAAATGTCATTATCTCCATCATTGTATCGCGCGGCATTCCCCGACCGAGATAGGCCAGTACGACGCGCTGGAAAATTCTCGACACGGCCGTGGAAACTCAATTTCCACGGTTTGGCGGAGACCGCGTTCTCTGCCGCCGCATCTGCATTATTTCCTTTCTTCCAGTCCAGTTTTCGCGCGCCAGAGTGCATTAACTCCGCCGAGTCGAGTTTCGGTATTTCATCCTTTGATCTCTCGACGAGCGGGCGGACGAGCAGGGCGCGGGGCAGACGAGCGCGCGCGCGCGCACATGCATCCATAATGCATCCGTCGCGGCTGCAAAGCCGCACACCGGATCGGAAGGCGCATTCGATATGCGCCGGACGCTTACGCGCTTTCGTAATTCAGAGCTTCTTCGATGGTTCGCGAGTGTATAACGGAGAGCGGCGGCCGGCAATCCGTTATCGACGTATCCGCATTTACGACCGTTCGGCGTCCGTTGGGGTATTCATCGATGTAGATCCTGATATTCCTGATAGAAAGGGAGCCCCCGGGGGAGAGGGAGGGGGAGGACGGGCGTTATTGCGATTGAGCGTAGCTGACTAATATCGCGCGGGCGTCAGCGAGCCAACGCGTCAGAATCCGTTCACATTAATGCATCCTGTTGCACTTTATCGCGCGCCAGGCGGAAATCGAAGCGAGTTCGCGCGCGCACCGGCAGTCGCATTCTCGCGAAATTGCTCTCGTTCCGGGGAAAATCGCTGAGGTAGATATCCCTTTTTAACATTCGGATATTATTCCGGGGTATCTAAACACGTGAATTTCTAAGTTGATAAGGCGTCAGATAAAAAAAAAACAGAATTTATCAGTAGTGAAAACTCATATTTTCAGCGTCATTTCGTTGTACTTTAATCAAAGTTTTCAGAAGAAATTAGATTTTAACAAGCTCCTCGTTTGAAGCTCAAAAAAATAGGCGTACCGCCGCCGCGCCGCATCTTTATCTCGCCCGGCCGCGTCGTGAGTGGCGCATCGTAAGATCGTCTTTAATCAATGGGGACGCGGCAAACAACCTGCTCAATCAAAATCCTTATTATCCTTAGCGGGTTATGGTAAACGCGACGACGGGCCTCGTTAGGCGCACCCTCGTTCGTCCCGCCTCGCTTCGCCTCGCCTCGCCTCCGCGCCGTCGTCGTCTTCGCGTCCGCGTCCGTGTTTGCGATGTCGCGCGGTGTGTAATTTCGACGTGCAATGTTTGCGCTGCCGCACGGCAGGATGGCACGGCGGCAACGCTTACGCGGATAGTCGCATCGGCGCCGCGCCGTGGCACGGCGCCATCGATCTTGACGAAGACCCGAAGGCAAACACATCCCGTGTAGGGCGACGCACACCACCGTGTGCCCTCCCAAGTGCTTACGTTAAACCCGGCGATAAGAAAAGGCCGCGCCTTCGGCCACAACCGGCCACGCCGGGAAATAATTAATCCGATTTGCGCGGCTAAGCCGCGCGCGGGCGCGCGCGAGCGGACCCTCGGCCTCACACCGGAAAACGAGCGTTTCATAGTGCACGTTGGGGTTAGCAATATTACGCAAGCTTTGCGGCGAACCTGCCGAGTGACGGTCGTTATATCGCGTATACCTAGTACAGCATGGATATATGAAGACTCGTATAAAGTTCAAGAAAAAAAGAGGATGCTTTTTATAAAAAATCATTGATTGAAGGCTCACTTTTATCACGAGCAGAATGATTCCGCATAATATTGTAAGAATGATAAAAATTACAACTATACAATCTATATTTGATTTTGTGCATTGCGATAAAACTTTCCTTAATTTTATTTTTGTCTGGAAAAAAGGCTCTAGTTATATAATCTTTAATCTAGTTGGTTAATTTTAGAAAAATTTCTTCTTTTGAGAAAGTTACGTTCGCCACAATAAAAGTATAATAACGTGTTGCTCTTTCACGGCGTTTTCAACGATGTATTCCCGCATAACTTATTCTTTAAGTCCGCCTTCCTATGGGGGACACCGTCGCGAGCTAACCCGACGAATTACCTCGGAGACCACCGTGGGAACCGTTCGAACTAAATAATCAAAGGTCGTAAGGTCGTCGACTCCGTTGACACGAGCCGCCGCCGCTGGATCAATGTTATTCGGCCCGAGGCGTTTTTTTTCCGCGGAGCTGCAACGACGACGGGAGAACGGAGGAAAGGAGCGTGGCCGATGACGGGCCGCTACTTTTATTCCTCGTCGAATCGCTGCGTCTTATCCTTCTTCTTTTTTTTGTCTACGCCGGAGCGACGTATTGGAGAGCAAACAGCTCGAACGAGATTACCGCGTGCAAAAGACTTTTTACGAGACGCGTCTTGAAAGAGATTGTCAAGAATTACATTATCCTCCCCCTCGCTCCGCTATCCGCGCCCTCTCCCCCCCCCTTGCTCTTCCGCTGCCGTCGTGATGCGCGGTAAATAAAGGACGTCGGCTTGCGATTTCCTCGAGAAAGCGATGGCGATAGTTATGCTCGCGTGACGCTGCAGACTGCATCGATTTGCAACTCAAAATTATTTACTGGAAGAAAATGTGGAAGAAACGAGTGGACGATAAATAACTTTGCGCAGCCTCTCTTTTGCTCCTAAAAACGGTATTTTTATCATGCATTTTTATAACCGTCTTAAACTGCTTGTTACAAATCTTTTAGACCAGAAAGGAGATTTCGCGCACTCTAAGATATTTGCACTGACAACTTCTTAAGCGTTTAAGTCTCTGACGTTTTAAATCCCACGCTTTAGTTCCCGCACATTTAGACACTCTTTGTGCACTCTTTCGTCAGCTTGTGGTAATAAACTTAAGTCAAATCATGGCGAATTGACTTTGGGGCGCAATTTACTCGGCAGTAACTTCGGACAAACGCGCGATTCGGTTCCCCCTTCTTCTCGCGCCGCGAAATTCAGACGAGTGGAGAACTCGAGAGGTCGAAGCTGTGACTCCGTCCCCTTTATTTCTCCCCGAGCGTCGGGAGAAAAGCTCTCTTTATCTCGTCAAGTCGGCGCCCATCTCGCGGCACTTCACCTCGAGCGGCAACGAGAGGACTGACCCCCGCGTCCGTCTCTCATCGTCCCGCGCGGAGAGTCTGCGGCAATTTTGTACATCGCGAAAAGTTTCACAATTAGTCTTGGAACTTTCATAATTCCGCAGCTTAACCCGCCTTGTTTTGCGGGCCGAGCGTTACCGCGGGTCGGTTTAATTTATCATTTCACTTCTCGCCCGACTATCGTTGGCCTTTCCTCGACTATCGTCCTGAACGTGCTCCTTTTCTCGTCGCCGCGTTTCATCCTTGTTTGTCTTACGCAATTTCTCATTCCGAGTCGAATCTCGGGAACGAAGCGTTTTAATGAGATCTTATTCTCCGATTAGGTCCGGATAAAACCTTTTTTTGAACGAACTATAAGCCGCGTCTTTACTTATATATTCCTCGAGCATTTTTAATTCGCCATTTCTAACGAGACTTTAAGATTTTTATACAAACGTCTGGCACGAAAATAGATTCCGAGTTAAAATGGTATATCGAAATAGCTCGATAGAAACCAGTCTGACTCCTAGAGCGGTCCGAATCACTTTAGTTGCCATGGACTTATCGTAAGATCTGGACGAAAGCGGCTTTGGAACGACAAAACGCACGCGAGAGAATAACGAGATAGATGTAGCGGACGGGTATACGGACACGACTGCAGGAACAACAGCCAAATAACCGCCAGGCATTATCCTATTAAGTACGTGGACGACCAGGCAAAGAGTTAAGGGGTGCAGGTCAGCCACAGTTGCGACTCACAGTAGTGCGAGCCATTCGCTCGCCGTTGTAAAGTTACATTTGTTGGCGAGATAATGCCCTGCAAAACGGCGCATTGGTGAAGTCGCGCGAGGTTAACAGGGGACATTTCTACGTACCGCACGTTCGGCGAAGTGATTTCGTTGAATTTCTCGAGGCTTTTCCTCCGGAAAAAATTGAAATTCGATCGGAATAAAAAAGGAACAGATTTCAGATCGATTTCCGGTTACCTTACGACAAGAGATTTCTGAATTCCCAATCTCGCACGTCTAAAATTTTTCTCACTGAAATACCCATCCCGTTATCGTCAGTGAAAACATACTTATCGTTTACCATTAAGAGCGTGCGGCTCCAAATAATTGAAAATACCGTAGATTTATACGCGACGATTCAACATCTCGAGGCGCTAGACGAATCCAACGATTCGGTAGACTCGGTACTTTCATCCAGCCCGTGACACGCGACGGTGACAATGGCGGGTATTTCGACTGCCGGTAAATTTAGTCGCGGAAAGTTAAAGACTCTCGTCGCCTTGGGGACGGAGAAGTCGCGAGGAAGGGGTGAGCGAGAGGAAGAGCCGAAGAGAGGCAGAGGCTTGCGCCGTCGGGTGGGGTAGGCCAGGGGGAGGGCATGACAAAGGAGGACGGTGCGAACTCTGGCTTCTAGGTAACTTAACTGCTCCTCCGGTCTTTGTGCGAAACTTAAAGACGCTGTATAGTCCGGGTATGGCGATGGCGGTGGTGGCGGACGACAGGATCCAAATTGCACGTGTAGGTACGTGTATGTGTGTGTATGCACGCGCGCATATGTATGTGTCTGCCGACAACTTTGAGCGAGTCCCCGCGAGCAGGTGAGGGGGTTGGTTACACTGTACTCTACGTGCCGGAGAACAAGCCGCT